AAATACTACGGCTCCGTTACGGAACCATTTCGTCGAGATTTGTAACTGTTAGATTATCATGTAACCGATCGTAATCGTAGTTGATCTAACAGTTACAAACCCCGATGAAATGGTAACCTAACGGTTACAAACCCAGACAGAATGGTTTAGGAAAATGCTACGGCTCCGTTGCGGAAGCATTTCGACGGGGTTTGTAACTGTTAGATTATCATGTAACCGAATGTAATTATAGTTGATCTAACAGTTACAAACCCCGACGAAATGGTAATCTAACGGTTACAAACCCCGACAGAATGATTCCGTAACGAGACCGTAGCATCTCTCCCTTTATTATGCGTGGATTGATTGTGGGGAGTTATTTGTGGCGGTACTTCCTCCACTAACTATGATTATGTGACACATTTTTAATGAATTGGTATTATTTTAGTTAATCATGTTTACAATAATGTTCACCTATCTATAGTGGGCACATGTTAACATGCTTATCGCTTATGGGGCATACACACATTGGTGATGTTAATATGTTAAAAAATATACATCACCAATGTGTGCATGCCACATAAGCGATGGACATATTAACATGTGTCCACCGTGGGTAGGTGAACATTATTGATCATGTTTATCAACTTACTCCCTCTTATCAATATATTTGCCTTTAAACATATAATCATAATCATAAAATGTAACTCTTTCATGTATTTCTCAAGTAAACACATCATTAAATATCTTTAAATCACATATTTCAGTAGCTCTTTCCTAATAAAGTTAAGACTTAAGAGAATCAAGATTTTTATAGGAAGAATAGTTTAAACAATAATTTCAAATGAAACAGAGGAAGTTAAAGGGCAGATATTATGGCTCGGCTCAATCTTGATCGGCTTAGTCTTAACAATCTAATTGGCTTAATGTATGAAGGGTCTGCTTCTCTGTCTGAATTTTGTCAGTTATATCGGCCGCCAATCTCACCGGTTATCAACATTTCAAAAATAAAGTAATGATGAAGGTGACGAGAAAATACGAACATGATCTTATTTCCAAATCACAGCAGCATCAACAACATGCCAAGAACACACACAAAAGAGGACACAGAGAAAAAAGAAAATGAAGTTGACCAATTTGTACAATTGTTTTTTACTTTCTCTTATAATTCCCTATGCTAATCACCGCCCGTCGCCAAGCCATGCCTTCATCAGCTAGTTTTGCAGTCAACGGGCCGTGCGTGCGCCTACATTTAGTTTTAGTCTCCTTCCCTTTCTCAACTTATCAAATAACTATCAACATCCTCATGATCAGCATTTTGAGGCCCGATCGAGAGCCTTAGGTGATCCTCCGCCCGGCACAACCCCAACCTACACAACCCCAAAGCTGTCTTCTCCTCCTCCCGAGGCGCCACCTGGCAAACGAACAACTCAAGGGCTTCTTTCATCCATGAATGAGCGCACGCTTCTCTAGCCTCGTTCACCTTCATCTGGAAAACCACAATATGTCAAAAACCACATTACCAACTTTAAAACTCAAAGTAAAGTCCAAAAACATATCAAAATTGTAAAATCATCACTTTAGTTCCTTATAAGATTTTGAAGCTCGGGCATACCCAAACTCGTCGGCGAACACTTTTCTCGGGCCACGTGTCTAATTCCTCGGTGACCAACAAGGGGAACATCGAGCCCTCGTGATACTTCTCTTGGCTTTTGCTCTTGAATCGCCACTCGCCTATTTTTTCCTGCGAGTGAGAACAACAAAAGGACTTGACTTAGAAAAATGCCACAAGAAAGGACTAATAATATTACAATGACTTCAATGAAATAACAAAATACATACCCCGAGTAAGCCGATCACACCGGCTTCCTCTAGCGTCTCCCTTGAGGCGGCTAATTCGATGTCTTCATCGAGTTCCCATCCGCCCTGACCAATGTAACAGCAAATATTCATATATTTATAGTATAAATTATAAGTGACAATTTTTTCAATAATATCGGATATCATTGTTCTAACATATGTATGTACCTTTGGGAACATCATTCTTGGACTTTTTTGTGAGCTGATAAGAAGGACTTCTACATCTTCAATAAGGGTCCCATGGATTAAAGGGGATCTGCTAGTTTTTCTGATTCTATAAGGTATGCATCTGCGTAATTTCAGAAAACACAGAGAGAGAGAGAGAGAAATAAGGCGCAAATATTATGGAAAATGTTAAGGTGCCGTTACGGAATCATTCCGAGTTTGTAACCGTAGATCATCATGTAACGGGTTTCTCGACGGAATGGTTCCTTAACAAAATTAAAAAAAAGCACAAAAATACGTACCCAACAACCTGACGAAATCCCTGATTATAGCGCTGCAAATGCCTTCCTGTGCGGGAAGGCAAACACACGAGCTTCTTCATTTGCATTGTCATCATCAACACAAGTTTACACTTCTCTTTTTATTTATTTATTTTTTTTTTACAAATTTAATTTAAAGAAAAAGAAAAGGAAACAAAAAATTAAAATAAAAAATCTTTTGTAAGGCAAAATACAGATTATTTGAGGCCACAAAAAGGTTGTGTGTGTGTGTGTGTGTGTGGTTCGACCAGAAAATTCGCAGTGACTAACGGAACAATTTTATTTTATTTTATTTTATTTAAGTTGAACGAAAAATGGAAGACAAATTATTGGTGTGTAGATAAACTGATTGATGGTTGTGAGTGTCCACTGATTTTATATATATAGCAAGTGAGATGCAGCAAATTCGTTGGGGGGGTGGGTG